TACAGTTACCGATAGAATAAATAAGAGGCATGTGCAGGTATGGGACTATACAAATTATACTAATTTAAAAGAGAATTATGCGATGAAATACGTAAAGATAATTAAAAGAAAAAGTTAAGCCACTAGTTACTTTTATAGGTTAAGTCTTCTGCTTAAGCATTTAATTATGCGGCGTTTCTATACCATATGCATGTTAACTAACCGGTAACGAACTGGGGTGTTACCCTAGTATCGTCTTTGGGAGGGGTTTAAAGCTTTAATCCTGGGACACGCCCCGAATCAGATTAGTCGCGAAGCGATGAATCGATTGGAATATCTCTAAAAAAAGATATGATTGTGATTTGTTTGCCAAGAAAAGAAAAGAAACACATTTGACATGATTTGAGATCTAAGATTTGTGACATGTTTTTAATGATTTAATTGTAATTTTTTTATAGGTTAATTATCTTTATATTTATTTTAAGATTTTTCCTTATTTTTAGGATTTTAGATTTTTAAATTTTCGATCAATTTGTAATTAGTCTATAAAAGACCCTTAATGGAGTAGTTGAATTTTATTATTTTGATAATTAGAAATTAAAAACTAGAGGTTACTCTTTTATAAAATACTATTTTTTTTTTGTTTAGTCACATTTTCTATGTGCTTTCGGCATCACATTAAGCCCGAACAAACTACCATTTTCTCCAAATAGAATCATTTCAATCAAAGTCAATTTTGTATCACGTTTTTTTTTTATCAGTGTCCATCTTTTTCAGATTCCTTCGAATCAAGAAATGTCAGATTGATTTTGGTATTTCTTTCATGTTTTGATTTCTTTAAAGATGTTCCTAATACTACTACTTTCTTTGAGATTCTTTTCAGTTTTCCCAATGTTTGGGTGAAGAAAGGGAGAAGAAGAAGAAAAGAGGTAGCACGGTTACAATGGGAAGAAAAATATGAGAAGGAAATAACCTAATATATCAACCCCTTATCAGACCTAATCCCACCCCTTAGGCCTGCTTAAATTATATATCATTTAAATGTATTAAAGGATTCTGCTGTATAAATTTATATTATACGATAATTACATCAAACAACTAAAAATGTCATGTAGGAACAAACCTTATAAGCTTATACTATCAGGCCTTATGCATCACACCAAACAGACCTTTAAATTAATAGTGCCCAGATGTTTAAAATACTCCAATCTCAAATTGTTAAATTTTATCTTATTGTGATTATTTTGACCTCCAATTGTCTAAAAATATAAACCAGCATAGTTTGGCTAGCAATTTCTACATTTCTTTTTTCAAGGTAATAGCCTTTTACACGCATGAAGAAAATAAAAGGGACGAAGAAAATAAGAACAACTTGCACCCTTATATAGATTGAATGCATTAAATTTACATGATAATTAAACATGTACTTATGTACTCAATTAGCATGTTTATACACTTTGTGTGATCAAATTATTATATTGTTGATTGTGCATAGTTATATCATTAAAAAATTATGATTCATATGTGTATGAAGTTACAAATTATATAATTAACCCTATACATATGATTCTATGATTCTAGTTTGTAATTGCAACTCAAACATCCTTGTCCTCAAGTAATTATAATTAATTTTGATTGAGTTTAATTTGACTCATTCTTTTTTAAATTATCATCTTATCTAATTATGTATTATTATATCATTAAAAAAAATTAATTTTAATTCATGTTAGTATATAAAAATAATTTATATTATTTTCCAATTGCATGATATTTTTAACAATATTATAATAATTAGCTTATTAACAAGCATATTTAATTTTTCTATAATTTTTATCCAAAAAATTATTACAGTTAGGGTGTGCATGACAACCATTCTATTCCCTAGCACTGTTTCTGAAAAGAAACAATTCTTTTCTATTTCTATGCTTTGAAACAGTTTGTGAGAAAAAAAATGTGTTTGATAACTTGTTCTATTTTTATTCCGAGAATGAGAATTGTGTTTGATAACACAACAAATAATATAATAAAAAATAATTTTTATTAAATATAAAAAAAATTCGGATAATCACTTTCCTTTCCATATGGTGTGGTTGTGGTGGCAATGGCGGCGGGTGGCATGGTGGTGGTGGCGGCGGCGGCGGCAAGGTAGTGGTGGTGGCAGTGATGTGATGAAGATAGTTGTAAGAACCCGCACCGTTAATTAAGGAAGTTAATTAATTAATTGAGAGAAATTAGAAAATAATTTCATAATTGACCCTAATAATTATTATGAGGCTTTAATAATTATAGTAAGTGAGTAATAATGCTGAAAATCGCTTTTTTGACGAAAAGTGCAGATACCGATTCTGCTACTCGGTATAAATGCGTACCGATGAAGTATCCCGGAAAATTATAATAAGTGCATGAATATTCTTAGAATATTATATAGGACTAGTAAAACAAGTTTCAGGTCAAAATAATGAGAACTTGTGCCATAACTGATACTGGCTATGGAAAAGCGAGTACCGGGAAAGTGCTGCGAAAAATAAAATAAAAATATGATAAATCCTAGAAAAATGAGTAGGTTCAGAATCCTAAGTTTGAGATTTAAATTCTAAGCGTAGCTATTAGTGCCATTACTGTGTGATTAAACTTAAGTGAGCTATATATAGCCACTTGCACAATAACCTAGGTCAGATTTTGATGTGCCTACGTAGAGGTTTCTGATGCATTTGTCTGCCACCCTTTCCTTCACCCTCCCTTAGCCTTCTTCTCCATAGAAAACCTTCAAGCGATTACCTTTACTCTTGATTTCTTCACAGAGGCTTCATATTTGAGTGTGCTTAAGCCTTGAGAGGTTGAAAGGTGCTCTATTTCTGAGTGTAGCTTCTGAGTTTGAGAGGTTGTGGGGGCTGAGTTGGTGGTTCTCTAGGAGGAAGCCACCTACTTGTCTTTGGAGGCTTCAAGGAGCCATTTTGATGGTGAAAGGTCCTAGCTTGTAGTGCATTTTGTATTTGGGAAGTGGCAGAACTTTGGTGCTGTGTTGAGGAGCCTTATGGTGTCTCATTTTCAGATTTTTGGAGCTTAGAGGTATACCATGATCACCTTTTTATCTTTTGATGATTTTAAGCTTGTTTAATCGGTTAAAAAGTAAAATTTTGATCAATTGAATAAAGGAATGTGTTTCTGAGTCCTAAGCATGTTGATAAACATCTGTTTAAGGAGTTCTTGGACTACAGATCGAGTTTGGATCATTGGAGGTCAATTATACCTTTAAAACTCAGTTTTCTGCATTCTATCCAAGAAGTATTCCAATACTTTTCGGGCAGTATTCGAATACTTCCTGGAAAAATGCAGTAATCGAATAATTCGCGAGACAACAGCGACCTAGTTTAGTAAAATTGCGATATCTCGAGCTACAGAGCTCTAAATCGAGTGAAGTTTGGACCTATGTGAAGCTAACACAATGGGATACAACCATGTAAATTTTATGATCCATTGGATAAGTGGATTGCTCTCAGTTTATGTTTTAATTCCTGACCCTATTGCTGGAAATTCAGTTTGTTGTAGGAACTTTGCAAAAATCATACCAGAGTTATACAACTCCGATTCAGAATAAAAAGATAACCTTTTTTTTGGTGAGAGACTAGCTTCTCTAGGATTCTTTTGAGAATCTCAGAACATATCAAGGGTGCTAATTCTTGTGGCGTTCATAGGCTTATCAATCTTTGGATTGTGGCGCCTTCCAGTTTTCGTTTCTTGATTGTGTTCACAAATTCTTGTATCAAACCCTATCACCCAAACCTTCAAATTTCGTCCAAAATAGTCTCGGTTCATATCTCCTGATATACGCGTCGGTTTTCGGTGATTCTTGAGTCAAAGTCGCGATTCAGAAAGAGATCTTTCACCTCGATTTGGAAACGTCCGATTCCGAGGTCTGTAGTGTGAGATACGCTCTGTTCTTAACAGGTCGTGTTGGTGGATGAATTTGGGGTTAGAATTTCCATTCCTAGTAGATCCATTCCTCCATTCCTATTGGGGATCATATCATTATATCTGCTGCTATTTTGTTGATTAGCTATGATTATGTTGTTGCTGTTGAGACTTTGTTGGCTTTGTTGCCTTATTTAGTGAGCATGGGGATTGCCCATGCCGCATTGATTTGACTATGTCTTAATTTAGATTCGAGTTATAATAATGTATCAGGATTATGTCCGGACTACGTGTTGTAGTTTCGTGATTTTAGATACTCACTATTATTATTATATTGAGGTATTTCAGTTAGATGTCTTCTGCAATTTACATACAGGCGATATTTTTTAATTGGATTTTAATAATTCAGCTTGGCTAAGTATAATGATATAACACCCCGCAAAATTAGGAAATCACATCACTTGTAATTAGGGGTGTGTGGCATGCTTGAAATTCAAATTCAATTGATGCTTAGAGTGGAATTAATTTAAGTAGGAAAAATTATTTTGGGTTTATCATAAGCGAGTATATGTGAATATTTTAAATGATTCATGACACTAGTAAAAAGGGGTGGAATTAAAATTAATTATAATATAGGTAAGAATTCTAATTACTACCTAGTGGAAACATGAATTAATAATTAATATGTATATATTTTATGTGACGAGTGAACCTTTCATGAAATAATAATTAATAATATATTATATGCGATAGAGGACTCATTAGGAAGCTACTTATAATGTCATGGTGGTTGTGGGTGCTTGTCTTGAATTAAAAATCGAAGTAGGTATAGGCTAGGAATATTTTAGGTACTCCTTATGAAAAAGTTAGTACAACTTAGTAATTACATGAAATAATATGGCTTAGTTAATTAGAGTCCAACTAGCCCAAGAGGGCGATGGCCCAAGCCTTGGAGAACTAAGTTCAGCATAATATTCATTAAATCTCATCACTAATTGCACAAGTAAAATCTACCTGCATGAAATCTTATTGGTCAAAGAAAAATCTTATCCACCTTATCCCGCCTTCTCACGCCTAGTAGGTGCAAGAAACCCACCTAATCCCCTTGTTGGCCCCTGATTAATGAACAGCAATCAGCCTTCTCCTATCTCCTCCTTCTCTTGCGATTCCTAAGGGCGTATCAAACTGAATTCTCACTCCCTCTCGTCACTCAACCGTACGCACATCACAAGGAGCAAAGCAAATTTCATTCTTGGTCACTGAATAACAAATGTAATCAAACCACTTTTGTATTTCTATCCCACGCCCACCACTAGCAACAAGCAGAAATATGAATGTGTACATTCTGATACAGAATTAGAAAACCCTGCCATCTCTCCATCCCCATTCCTAGCCATGAACCATAGAGAATCAATCATTCCTTAAGCAAAGTCCTCTTCCATTTTTGGTTCAGCCGTGGACCAACGCCCAGGGAGATTGGAGCACAAGCATAAATCCTTCCTCCTCCTATATTTTGTTCGGCCAAACCTCAAGCCTAGGAGCTGAAAACTCGATTCCTTGAAAGGAAAAACGCTAAACTTAAATTCTGACTCATCTTCTCTTCTTCCATGTATGGCCGTAGACATACATCCTTAGAGCTGTATACCCGAACTCTTGCGAGGAAAAGCCTTATACTTGAGTCAAATCACGTCTTCATAACATTTAAGAGCAAGTGAGCATCTTCTATCTTTCTTGTTTCTTATTTTAGCGCATGGAAATTAAGAACTGTTCCTCATTATGTTTGTGTTTTAATTCTTTGGTATGGAGAGAGGCGAAGGTGCCTCCCATGGCTGTGTTGCTTGTTTTCTGAACCCCACTTGAAAGGATTTTTGTTGCATGCAAAAAGGTACAACCCAACAACAAACCCTTTTTGTTTACTCCACTATTCGGCTTGCATATGGGTGTCTTAAGAGAATAATTTTTGTTGTCAATCAATCTTCCTAATGTCCAGCCGTAAAAACCTTGGTTGTTGCTGTAGGCATACGTACAGAATCTGATTTAGGACATTGGGAAATAACTTCACTTTTAATTTGTTTAAGAAAACAAAGCTCCATAAGTAATGGTTTGATAAATGAAATTAGAAGCCTCTAATTGTTGGCCTGAAAAACGTGAAGAAACGTCTTAGGAAATTAGATTATTCTTCAATTTCCATTTCTTGTTTCTGCCCTTGTTTCTGGTCACTTAGACATAGTACTTAGAAAACTCAAAAACCCTAAACGGTGAGCTTGGAAAATAGCTCTAGAGTAAATTATTGGACTGTTTTGTAGAATTATATTGTATGCCTAGTTTTGCATGTGGTAAATTAAATTGGATAGCATGTTAAGGACCCTTAGCGCATCAATGGCCTAGTAGAATTGGTTAGGTAGATAATTATATCATGAGCATTTTTTTACGCTAAGAAATCGAATCTGTATGTGATGGAGATTTTGGATTTTGTCACCGTTAATTAGTTATTATATTAGTACGAAGTCAGAAATTGGCTTTCATGGTGAAACGACCTTGTATATAGAACATTCGGTTGGTATTGTTATTCCATCCTTTTGTTTCTGCTCATTTTAAACAGCCCTTAAATTAGTAGCTTTGCATGAGTTAAACGGAAGTGTACAGCATGATTATAGGCCCCTAACGCACCTTAGGCATTGTAGGAATGGTTATGTAACTAAACAAATTAGGAACACCTAATACTAGCCTAAACCGAATCTAAAGTATAAGGGGACTTGGACTTTCTTTCGCTGTTAACAAATTTGTGAATTAACCGGAAGTCAGAAAATTTATCTAGCATATGTAATTGGAAAGTCGGGTAAATACAAGAGTTAGGGAGCATGGAAATTGATTGTAAATCCTAGGAAAAATAAAAGTAAATTCTGTCTTGGTACATATGTTTGTTAGGTGCGCACAATCCTAGCTAATTTGACTGTTTGATGATACTTGGTTAAACGACTGTAAAGACTCGAGGTAAGTGTTTGGTGGTATTACCTAATGTGACTATTAGCTAGCGTATAGAATTGTGAATTGTTGCTCACATGTGCCTTGGATTAATGTGCTGTCATATGCTATACGTATGCTGCCTATGAATGTGACAAGATGGAAAATCATGAATGAGAAGTAATTGTTATGTGGCAGCTTGGTACGGAAAGTACATGAAAGATATGCTATTATGATGATGATCTACTCATGCATATACACCTCATAATTCATTTGTTTCTTGTTTGTGTGTGAAGCATATCATGGCATACATGCACGAATTTCATGCTGTTCATGGATTAGAATATTTATATAAATATGCATACGATTGAGCACGCATCATATAGGCATCCCTCCGGTACCAGGGTATGGGACACTTGGCTTCAGTCCGCATAGGCCACAGTTGGAATTCACCTTTGAGGAGCCATTATGGAATATCCACTGTGTATGTTAGTACGTGCACGACGGTGCTATGAACGTACAAGGAAATGGCGTTATATACGCACTAATAAGGAAATGGCGTTATATACGCACTATTATGACTATTATGAATATACATGACCATGGCGTTATATGCGCAATAAGATGATAATTAACAGTTGTACGGAATTTTACTGTTGATGCGACTGTTTTGAAATTTTATGCCTAGTTTATTATTGTTGCATTATTGGTTTTGCTATCACACTACTGGGATTTTTCTCACCCCTTTTGGGGCTAAATTTTTATAAAATTGCAGGAGGACGGAAAAGCATCTGATGACATTGTTTTTGGATTTTTGCTGTTACCTGCTGCTGTTTGGATTTCTGCTGTTAACTGTTTTTCTGTTGGATGACTGTATTATTGGAATATTTTGGGAAGTTTGGATTACTGTTGGAAGCATTATTAGGCTACTATTTTAAGTTTTTTATGATCAGTTAGGACTTTGGAAAAATTCTGGAAACGTTTTGCGGAAACTATTTCTTAAGGTTTTGAATGCAGTTTTATAAACCGTTTTGCGAGCACTTTGCAAGTTATATTTAGTGGGGCTACAGACCTCCGAATTGCTTATAATTTATATACACGCGAAGCCCCACGTGTCTAGTTTCTGATCATATAAGTTTTACAATGAAATTTTGAAAGCACGATTTATTATGATTTTTGCACGAAGACAGGTTTTTCAAGAAAATGACTATTTCAGCAAGCCATATATTTCTCTAAGTTTTCACACTGTTTTAATTTCTTCTGACCTGGTTTGAATACAAAATGTCAATGAGATGAAAAACAAAATTTTCAAACTTATCCGCTAATATTACGACTCTAATCCGCTTAGCAGACAACTCCCTTGGATGCATACTGGAGAGGGTGTCACACTAAATGGTATCAGAGCAGTTTTGATTCAAGGTGTCTGTATTTGATGAAATATTTGTTGTTTGTACTTGGTTGCTGAATTGTTGTTGTTTGAATATATTGGCTGTTAGTATACTTTTGTTGAATTATTGCTGTTTGGACATAATTGTGTATTGGTTGTTTTGCTGTATGTTAGAATTACCTTGTTCAACTGCTGATGTTTGAATATGATTATTGAATTGTTTGCTAGCTGTTTTTGCATTATTCTGTGTGTGTAATGGTACTTGAGGTATCCGGTGTTGAACACGGTTATGCACACTTCATTGCTAGGTGGTGAGCCGATCAACTCACTGTCGCGCAAGATGTGTGTGCACAATCATGGTGATCACAGGGTATACTTGTGCCTGAGCACTATGTGTGAAATAGTGAATTGCTACTTGAATTAATGGTTAATTATCAATTGTGTTTCCTATGGATTGTAAGGAAGGTTTTATATATATATATATATATATATGTATATCTGACGTGTATATTTTTGTGATATTCTAAGCCGTGAATGATAACATGTAATATTTAAATAATGACTGCTGGTGCATACTTGCCCTTGAGATTTATGCTATTTACTTGCATGTGTGGTTGTGTATATAGCTGGGTAATAGAAACTGTTATTCTTCACTAATTCTGTTGGGTCTCATAACCGAGTAAGGGTAACAGTGACATAATCATGACAATTGATGTAGTTAACTAGCATTACGAAGGACTCGTTATTTAACCTTAAAACTGTATGTAGACAAATTTATGTAGGGACATATCAGTTATCTAAATAGATCCAGTTAATGCCCTGAGGAAGCAGAATTGGAATTATTAAGACTTAAACATGTGAGTCTGTCGTCCTTACAAATTTTCTAATGGTGAATTGGCACTAGACATCATTCTTGAGAAAGAAGCTGTGGAACAAAGCGTTGATGTGTAGAGGTCAGTTATACAGTGATACGGGTAGTATGGGTAAATAAGTGAATTTGATCTGCTAAATTGGATTGACCCGTCTTGCTGTTGATATTAGTGAATGTTGTTAGGGTTGTTGAATACTATGTACTGTTTTATTATATACTCTGTTCGGTTGTGATGTTCATTCGCTACATTGAAACGTTTGACTTGAATGGTTGTTGTCACAAAATTGTGCAAGAGTTGTCTGATTGTACTACGTTGCAGTTGAATTGAAATGTTTGAATTGACTAATCGTATAATTGATTATTTGAATCGTGTCTCAATCTTGAGACTACTGTCGTGTATGTCATGCAGTGAGTAGGACCCACTCGTTGCGTGGCATTATGAAAGTAGAATTAGTATTTAGGAGACACGAAAACCTCCTCATGAGAGAAGTCTGAGGTGTGGTAGATTGTAATTGATCAATGCCTGAATGACGAATAAATAATGAAGTATGGAATTGGACGATTCCCAGTGTGTGATGAGATGATACTCCAGCTGTTACTGGGAATGGGTCTGGCCAACACATTCTTCGGAAACACGGTAGTATCAAACTGTCAAACACCGAGAATCAATTAATGAAAAAGTTTTTTTTGGTGGTTTTAGTACTTATGCTTGAAATTGTGTAGGAAGTTAACCAAGGAATGACTTGAATAATTGGAACAAGCAAACTAAAATTGTAGAACCATATAAGTGGACGTAGTAATGAATTGATGTTTAAGTTGTATTAAGAGTGAGTGATTTCTGTTTGATAAATTGGATACATGAAGACTTTTAGTTTGGTATTGGTTTGTCAGGATAGAAATTGAATGAGGAGTTTTCGGTTTGATAAATTGAGATTATGAAAATATTTTGTTTTGATTTGGGTATTGGTTTGTCAGGTATAGCAAATGAAGAAAAATAAATGAAACGGGATTTTTGGTAGTATGTCAGAGTTTGAGTTTATGAATCGCTTAAATTGTTTTAACCGTCTAGAATGTAAACTCCAAAGTAGTGACGCTTAGTTAAAAATTAGTTTGGGTGTTGTGCTCAAGAAATTATATGTGTTTCATGATCTTAATGCGTATGTTCTGTTTTAGTCTAACTGCTTCATGAAAACTCTTGTATTTTGGGAGCCTGGTGTGTTAATCCTTTTGTTTTGAGTATTTGAATTTAGGAACTCTCTTTTCTGTTGGAAAATGAATTTAATGTGTGGTATATGCTAGGAAGAGTCTTAGAACCGAGTTTGATGTGAAAAGCATAGTTTTATCAGTGGCTGTATTTTTTTTATTAGTATTTATCACTCTAAAGGGATATTTAACTTAAATTAAGATGTCGAATGTGGTTATTGTGCATGTGAATTATGAAAGCCTGGTTTATGTGATGGATTATGATTGGTAGCTGTTTAAAATTGTAATGTGTGTAATGATTGGAAAGTTCATATCATAGTTAATGGATGCTCTGATCTGTGGAGTCAATTACATCCGAGGTACCTAGGACAACGGAAAGCTCGAGGAAGTTTCCTCATATGGGTGTTTTGGCGAACTGTATCAGAGGTACCACCTTACGTGATATGTACGGAGAGTATGCTAGAATTAATTAGCTCCATACATGATTGCTTGGTATCCTGAAATTGTTGAGTACGTGGTAAAAAGATAGACATAGTTGCAATTTATTTTAGAAAAATATTAGACAGTAGCTACAGAATTAACGGACAAGCTTAACATCTCTTGTAATCATGGCAATTAGTAGTTAGTGCCTTGGAATCTAGGTATCTTTATTCGTGTCCTTAAGTCAGCTTCATAGTTAGAGTTAATTAGAGGTGCCTCCTAAACCCTATGCTTTAGGGAAAAGCACTACTCAGCTATGAAATTCCTTCTTCCGTAAGATAATGTTAAATATTGTGATGTTCACTTAATCGATGCAGTTAAAATTTTATACCACAATAGTGATGGACTAAGATCCTTAGAAAGAACATTTACTGGAATTCTGGTTGTGATGAAATTTTGTGATTTTACGAATACTCTTCTACCATTGTAAATTGGAATATGATGCGTTCTATTTTACTTACTTGATTTCCTGTAGATTATTAAATTGTGAGATTCCACTCATGATGTTTGTCAAGTCAGTAATTAGTTGTGAGGTGTTTACTGAGTTGAAATCTGTCATATGTAAGGAATAAATAGGGAGTGGATAAAATTCTCAATTGTAACATGTAAACTGCCAAGATAAAATAATTATAGAAGATCCCACTTACTTAGTCTCTTGTTTGCGCAAGAAATAGGCAGGCATGGTTAGTTGTGTTAAAATGGTCTAATTTGGGATTGTAAAATTTTGTTTGTGTTATCAATTGCGAAGTAATCTTGTGAATTGAATTGTTGACTCTCAACCTGGCATGCATAAAATTTTAGGGTCATATTGTAGGTAATCACATGCATTTTAAGTATAGTAAGTATAGCCGGTGTATAAGTAAGAGCATGGCATGTTATTGATGTGGACACACCTAAGAAACGGGAAACAAAAGTTATAATATTGAGAGATAATCACAACGGTATGTCGGCATGAGACCGGATTCACATCTTGTTTGAGCACTAGAATCGGATTTCTTTGGGCCTTAAAGGAGGTCATGAAAGTAGAGACATAGGTGGCTGTTTCTTTTCGGTCAACCATCAAATATAGGATTCACATAGGGAGGAATCATTGTGCGAGTATATCTGTTTAGTTACTAATTAATTATGCACTAAAACCTTGAGCCTCTCCATAATTTAGGGATGACTGGAGTTTCCTGATTGGTTTTATTTCATCTGTGTTAGAGTGTGGTCCTTGGCAATGTTTAAAAAGAAACCCGAAAATCTGTTTGCTATGATTAAGCTTAGGAGGAATTTTATTCCCTACCATGCAAATAAAATTTGGTTGTGTATATTGTCTGATAAACAGGTCAAGTATAACTTGTTCGTAATGCTTGGAATTCATTGACGACTGTCATAGATGCCAGCTGATTGTGATCTAAGGTCTTTCTCTAATGTAATTTTGTTTGGCTGCCGACTGGAATAGTATGGGAGTGATAGGATGAAGTTTGGGGACAAACTTCAAATTTGGTGGGGAGAGTATAACACCCCGCAAAATTAGGAAATCACATAACTTGTAATTAGGGGTGTGTGGCATGCTTGAAATTCAAATTCAATTGATGCTTAGAGTGGAATTAATTTAAGTAGGAAAAATTATTTTGGGTTTATCATAAGCGAGTATATGTGATTATTTTAAATGATTCATGACACTAGTAAAAAGGGGTAGAATTACAATTAATTATAATATAGGTAGGAATTCTAATTACTACCTAGTGGGAACATGAATTAATAATTAATATGTATATATTTTATGTGACGAGTGAACCTTTCATGAAATAATAATTAATAATATATTATATGAGATAGAGGACTCATTAGGAAGCTACTTATAATGTCATGGGGGTTGTGGGTGCTTGTCTTGAATTAAAAATCGAAGTAGGTATAGGCTAGGAATATTTTAGGTACTCCTTATGAAAACTTTAGTACAAATTAGTAATTACATGAAATAATATGGCTTAGTTAATTAGGGTCCAACTAGCCCAAGAGGGCGATGGTCCATGCCTTGGAGAACTAAGTTCAGCCTAATATTCATTAAATCTCATCACTAATTGCACAAGTAAAATCTGCCTGCA